GGCCCCTAAGGGGCTCTTCAGAAAATCCTGATATGGATGCTTAGCTTGCTTTAGGACTTTCATCAATACTCCAGCAAATAAACATAGCCTGAATCTGTTTTATGCCATTATTGAAACATTTTTGGTGCACCAAATATATGAAGAAATAATAATTAAAACTTTTCGAGTTTCCACGATCAATTGACGTAGTTTTATGTGCTTGAATGATATCAGTTTTTAAAGTAGAACTAAAGGCATTTATTCATTTGTTTATACAGCACATTCCAAGAATTAATGGAGACATACCTTCAGTTGATGAAGCAACTTCTGACCATCAAAGGCTGCTAGATAGGTACTCCTAGTTCATGTGCGGGTAGCCACCCCCAATCCCCTTCCCCTTAAATGTTGCAATTGCTGCACAGATGCCTGTTTTTTTTGAGTAATTAATATAGCAGATTAAGGTCAGAAATGGGAGGGAGACTCAACTTATGGTAGAACAAGATGACTGTGCTATAAATGCTAATCTCATTTTTTACTAACAGCAAATGAAAGATGTTAAACCAAAATCTCGTTTATTTCAAACATTCGAATCTGGAACTGGCTCAGTTACCTTAGTTTGAATTGGGATAACCTGTGTTTGAATACTTACCAAATCCCTCATCACCCTCTCAGGACTTGAACTGTGACTGCTTGACAGTGTTTGAAGATTTACCCACTGGTTCCAACCCTTGGTCCTCTTGCTATAGTGGTTGTTTAAACTTAGAATACATGAGACTTCATGAATTCATGGGCTAACCATCCCTCAAGATTTGAACTGTGGCTGCTTGCCAATTTTTGATGACTTACACACTAATTTCAACCCTCGGTCCCTTGCTATGGTGGTTTTTGAAGTTACTATGAAATACATGAGACTCCATTCACTCATGCACTCTGGCCTAATTTATGTTTTGTTAGACATAAGCCTGTTTCTGTTCATTCTTGCACATCATGCATATCAACTATGGTTCACTTGGATTCTTTCAGATGGTAAGACTTAAATTTCATTGTCTGTTTTCTTGAGTTATGCATAATGTTGTGCTTCATGGTAAGTGGATGGGCAGAACATATGATCAGGATTTGATGTTGGATGGTGTTTGGTTTCAGATTGCAGTTATACGAATTGGTTGAGCACAAAGTTCAAGGAGATGGGAACTGTCAGGTCAATTGATACATCTTTTTCAATAAAAAACTGCATCCCCATCGGCTTTATGAAAACATTTTTGTGGTGACTGCCCCAGCTTTGTACTAAAGGATTCTCAAGTAAAATGTTCCTAGAGTCATCTCTTCAGTTATATGTAATGCAAAAATCAATTGCTGGAAATAAAAAATATGTAAGATACAACTTATTTGCTTCCATAGCATAAATCAGGCCTTTTATGTAGTGTGCAAATCATTTTTGAGTACCTGGCTAAAAGACATTCAAGAAAACACTAAAGTCCCCTTTTTGTTGTTACATGGATTTGAAGGGTTGTTTTGTGGATTGTTTCACTAATAAAATAATGATTTGCTAAATTTTTTTAGCAAAGTTTCTTCATGGTGTGTCCTTTACATCCATTCTGCATGTCAAGTGATCCTTATGAGGACTAGTTATTTTGTCTTTCATGTCCATGCATGCTTTTACTTGGGCAGTTCTATTGGTTCTTCAATTTTATGCTTGAATTTGGAAATTTGTTGGTTTTTATCTCTCTAATTGTAAATTTTTGTTGTATTAAAAACATAAGTCATGGTATGTTTGATCATGTTGAGTTGTACTACTTCTGCTTTAGCATAGCAATGAGAGTTTTTTTATGATTTTATTACAATTAGTTTTTTTTAGATAAATTAGACATTACATGTCCTCTCTTTCCCCCAGTTCCGTGCTTTATCAGATCAAGTCTACCGGACTCCTGAGCACCACAAATTTGTGAGACAGCAAGTAGTTCATCAGGTTGTCTTGTAGTTGTAAATTAAATTTTTCTTTCATGATTTATTTCTTGCTGTATACTTGGGTTCTTTTCTTTCAGTTCATCTAAATACTTCTGTCTTCCTATGCATTGGTTGGGTATTTTCAGCTTAAGGCTCATCCAGAAATGTACGAGGGATATGTTCCCATGGAATATGGTGAATATCTGAAGAGGATGCCCAAGTACTCTTAATGTCTTTGCCTTGTTTCATAAAATCAACAGTTAATTCCCCCCCCTCCTCTCAGTGCTGGAAATCACTTTAATGCTTACCTTTGAATATTTAATGAACCAGGAGCGGGGAGTGGGGTGATCACGTCACTCTGCAGGCTGCTGCTGATTCTGTATTGATTATGATACCTTTTTACCTTTTTTCATTCATTTAGAGGAGGGTATATGTTACCAGAACTGACCTATCCCATTTTCTTTGCTGGCAGTATGGTGTGAAAATTCTTGTTATAACTTCATTTAAAGACACCTGTTACATTGAGATTCTTCCCAAGGTCCAGAAGTCAAAAAGAGGTAACTATTTAGGTGTCTTATTATTGCGTTTTTATCTATTACATGAAATAATAGTTTTAGTTCTTGCCAATGATCAATAGATTATTCATTATAGGCCAGTCCGGTGATTGACAGTTGAGATTCTTGTGCTATTTTAATGCTTTGATGACATGCTTCATGATCCAATACCTTTTCTATCTATTTGGCAATGGGAAATATCATTAATTCGTACTACATAGAGCAATTAATTATGCGAACAGAAAACAAAAGCATTAAAAGCACATGGTTTAGAGTTGTTCTCAATGCGAGAGCCACGCCGATGCTACTGCAGAAATTTACTATATCAAAGAAGAGAATTATGACACGTTCTGGACTCAGCCTCTCTTTGTTCTCTCTACCACCAAAAGTGGCTAACCCTAATACCCATCATATGGGAGGAAACAGTGACCTAATCTGTTTGCAAGTTTCTCAAAACCCCTAAAACACTTGAACAGTTTGTGCCGGGGGAAAAGTGTACAGTAAAATTCGGCTCCACATATCGAACAATGCTTGGGGCAATAGAAATGCTCACTCGTGTGCTTAAATTTTCTGTCAGAAAATAGGCAAAACTAAGAGCCTCTAGCTAGATGGATAAACCAAACTTATATAGTACTCTTAAGGGCACACAGTAGCTTGTAGAAAGTTATGATCAAAATATTTTGACTTGCTCATCGAAGAAAGGAATGTAAGAATATCTATACCCCTGGAAAATGGCCTTTGCACTTCAAACCAAAAATAATGTATACTAGTAACAGTGTGTGAAACTTCATCGATGATTTGTCAATATAGAATAAACTCCAAAATCTGTGCATACTCCCACTGCCACTCAATGAGACTTGGTCTTGAGAACCAGTGTTTTCTAATTGCAAATTGTACGTTATATTGTTATTTATCGTTTACTTTTTATTTTACTTTCTATTTTTGGGGTTGGTTTGGTTTGGATGAAGCTCGTAAAGAAAATTAGTGTATATAAGTACCAGAACTCTATCTAGTTTAGACATTCTCTGTCTACTCTACAAATGCGATCCAGTTTCTTGTTCATGTTTGCTTGTGTTGAACTATTTCCCCCTTGGCACAGTTTCAGATCATTTCATTTCATTTCATTTATCGCCTTAATTATGTCTTTTCTTGTGCAGTTATATATTTGAGTTTCTGGGCTGAAGTACATTACAACTCAATCTATCCTCAAGGAGGTAATAACTCTCTCTTGATTTGATTAGAAGACCTAAAAGACACTATGAAAAGAGGAGAGCAAAATGAAATATTTTCACATGCAGTTTGTGTTGAATTTTAACCTAACTTCTATAACCAAGGTTTATTGCCTGACATTATGCATTATTCTGAACTTTCTTGTTCACTAATTTATGAAAACCACAAGTTTATGGTAATTCAGAAATTCTGCAATATATTTTCGAACTGGGGTAATAACTAGTAGGTTTTCTGCTTTTATGTCCATCCTAATCAAATTAAGTTATATTCATCGTTCAGATTTGCCCCCAAGTGACTTTAAGAAGAAGAAGTGGTGGAACTTTCGAAATAAGCATTAGAAGTAATTAATCATTTGAAACTAATACTTGGAAAGTATTTAGTTTCCATTTCTTTCAACTCTCCATCATCTCTCTTTGGATGAGAAGCGTGTATTTTCTCGGTGCTCGATATTTCAATATGAAGCGTGGCTAAGCGATCCTCTTATTCACTCCTGTTGTTACTGTACCTCTGCTCTCTTTTTCAATCACTATATATATACGTATATTTTTCTGTAATCATACAATACAATCAATAATATTATATAGCATTTTCTTATTGCAAGCTTGGTTCTATCTTTGTATTCTCGTGTTTCTTTAATCAGCATGCTTATGGCATTATAGATTCACAGAGCCAATTTCAAATTGGTGGGGGTAGGGTGGCTTGAATATGAAAATTTCATGCTTCAGAGTTCACACAGCAGAATAGTACCATGTTATCAAACCCCAAAAGGAAAGTCAGTGGTCCACGGGTGTACTCTTTTACACTGGGCTCCATGGCAGCGGTCCACAATGAAATAAAATGTATTTGACTCGGAGATGTATAATCTTTACATTCCTTCATTCACAAGTCCAAATGAGTAGCAATCTCTTTCGTCAAAAGTCCTATGGCTGCTCAATCTCTTTCACAAACAAGTAAATTCTGCTTTTCAATTGCCTGATTAAATCGAGTTTCGTCGAATTGTCCCTGAACATGTATTCATTGAAGAGATGTGAAAGCCGTCTTGAGGATATTTATTTTCTTCCAATTTTGTATTGTATTGGAAACCATGAAGGTAAATTTTCAGCAAGATATATCTTCTTGTAATTTTTTGTGCAAATAGGAGCCATTATTATATATAATTATCAGTAATGTCATCTACGTTCATCGTACATAATTGTAAGTAATCAAAACGAGACGAGAACGTTTTTCATCTTATTACTTAAAAGGCCCCAATTATCTTTTATTTATCTATTAATGCCACTAGATTACTAGTATCTAGTGATCCTCAACTACTCCACGATGCCTCTCTTCCGCCTCCTCCACCGCAGGCTGCAGTAGAAGAGCCGTGAATGGCATGTGGCGATACGCATTGGGATCAAACTCGAAGCCCATTGGCGGCGGCGACTGGCCGAGGTCCAGCCTACAGCTCAGCGGCGGGGATGGAAGCAGCGGAGCCTGAACAGAAGCGCGGGAGCGGGACAGAGGAATGGTGGGGGCGGTGGAAATGTTGTCAGCAGGGATGGTTCCGGTGCCAGTGGCGGCGATGATAGCCGGTTCGGCTTGGCGGAGAAGCCACTCAATGGTCTCCCCGTCGGAGCGGTGGCCAAGTTCCCGCGTCAACTGGAACACCCGGGCGGCGCACAAAGCCGGTATTCTCACTCGGCGGCCTCGGCCATTGACTTTAGTGTGCCTATCCTTGGTGGACAGTGAAGACCTTTTTGAAGTTCTTGAATGACCCAACTTTGTTCCAGCAGGATTAGCACCAGAGGATTCAACAGCAGCGGCGGTGGCAGGATGTGGAATGACAGCCCTGAGTGACTGAAAAAGGTGGTGGCGGGAGGCTGCCATGGGGCTGAGGTCATCAGAGGAGAGTTTGTAGAGGGCCGTTTCAGAAGCCATTTGAGGAGCGGAGGGCGGTGGACAGAGGGGGGAGAGAGAGAAAGAGATTAGGGTTATTTATACTTGGGGTGTTGGAAGTAAAACTGAGTAAATGTTATGGTTTATTAGGTGGAGACTATGGCCCCACAAAGGACCGAGTGGAGCCAGTTCACTAGGTGATAACATCTATGTAAGTCCTGGGTATGGACTTTGGGCCCACAGTTTCAGACTAATGGGCCCACTAGGGTCTTAAGTCTTGGGAAAAGTTTAGGGAAAATTATATAAAATCAGGGATTTAGTTTGTCATTTTTAAAAGTCAGGTTTTAAGTTTATTTTTGTAAAAATCAGGTAGTATATTAAAACCTAATTCTTAACCTAATTTCTCCCC